ATTTAGAGGGAAGGAGGTGACAATTACGCTGCTCTCTGTCTGTGAGAGCCGGGCACTGACAGGGGCACGAATCCCAGCCCTGCCCCATTCTCCTCTGTAACTTCTGGCAAGACTCAGTGTCCTCAAATGTACAGTAGTGTTCATTGTTCCTACTCAGAGTGTCGTTAGGAGGATGAAATGATTTAATAAGTGCACACAGGTTGGAACAATGCCCGGGTCACTCGTACAATCATTGTTAGTGGCAGTAGCAGCCGCAGCACTCTGATGAGGTGCGGGTTGGGCCGAGGAGCCGTGGGAGCCCAGAGAACAGGCCCAAAATCTTGCAGGGGATGCGGGGAGGCTCCTGAAGCAGGGCACAAGGGTTATCCAGTGCTGGGCAGAGGGTCTGGGCCGGTCCTAAGGGTGCGGGACTCAGTGTTGACCGTCAGTGGTGAGACCTGGCTGAGCACCGTCCTGTCCTCTCCCCTCTCCCAGGAGGCACCCGGAAACTGTTGTACTATCTCAACGAGGGCCACTATGGCACCTTTCGCGACTTCCACAGGGATCATGTCCCCAGGATGCCAATTGTGGTGAAGGTAAGGGGACCCTTGTGTGGCTCTGGCACCTCCCAGACCCTGATAGCAGTGAGGTCAGCCCCTTTCCTGTGAGGCAGGTATCCCTCTGTGAGGTGCAAGGGGGCAGGGTCTTAGACTACACATGGCTTTTTAGATTGTCATACCATGTGGGTGTACAAGGATGTGAACAGGCAAGCCTGTTTGTATTTGCATGCGCACTTCTGTGTGTGTGCACTTTTGTGTGTAAGCATGCTGACTGACACCTGTGCAGGTAGGTGGGTGGATGGGTATATGGTTCTGTGTGGGTGTGTGCGCACATAGGTTTGCCTCTGAGTTTCCATGTGATCTCTCTGTATGCACTGTGTGTGTGTGTGTGTGTGTGACCAGAATCCTTGAATTCTGGAGATGCAAGAGTCCTAGGAAATGGAGGTTCCCCAACTTGCTTGGGAAGCTTCCAAGGACCCCGATGCCGAGGCGAAGGCCCAGACGATTGAAATCAGGCCTCTCCTGGGTCAGGACGTGGCATCAATCCTTTGTTAAACCTCCTCCAATGTGACTCCAATAGCAACTGAGTTTCACCCAGTATTTTGAGTGATTATTGACTGAAATCTTTTGCTTTTATAGATGGGAAACGGAGGCCCCATGTGTGTGTGGCCTTGAGAATTAGCAGGGCTAGGATGTGTCACTTGAGCGAATATAAGCTCCATGAGGGGCGGGTCAAGAGCAGTGCCTGGCACATAGGGACTGGCTGGTGTGAGTGACTGCCAGTGTCCTCGCTGGTGCCTGGGGGTGCTCTGCTGGCCGAGGGCATGGGTTTGGGGCAGGAGCTCTTCCTTCTCTGATTCCCCACCCCTGTGTCCCTGCAGGAGCTCTGCTCAAAGCCGCCCCTCTTCCCCTGCATCCTTTATGGCCCCACGTGCGATGCCTTTGACACGTTCTACAATGAGGAGGTGCAGCTGCCTGAGCTGGACGTGGGTGACTGGCTTATCTTCCCCTCCATGGGCGCCTATAGTTCAGTCCTGAGCTGCACCTTCAATGGCTTCCCGCCTGCGACCATCTGCTACATGATGGGACCTGAGCTCAGGTATCTGGGTGGGACAAGATGGGGGCTCTCAGGGGGATCTGAGGTGGCTGATCTTTGGTGTGTCAGGCCCATGAAATACTGTACTCCCCCCACTGCCCCAGCAAAAGTCTGACTGATCTTTGACACTGTCCAGGGGGTTGACTCTGTTACTGCCCCTAGCAGGGGTGGACATGGGAGCTCTCCAGTGTAGATGCCTTGTGGGCAGAAGCAGGCAGCACTATGGCCCCAGCTGACCCTAGTCTGTGGCCAAACCCCCACTCTGCTCTGATCTTTTTTGTCTGTTCTCTGGTTTTCTCATCAGATGTTCCTTCCCTACCAGCCTCAGGCTCCCTCACAGGCTCTGACCGAAGGCCCCTATCTGCCCAACCTAGGATTCACTCCCAGGGGTGGTGGAGAGGGCTCTGGAACGCCCCTTTACTGGTACAACCTTTCCACAGGAGCCTGCTGGAGACAGCGCCTTAAGCTGGGACATGGCAGCTTGGAGTGGCTCCAGACACCTCGGTGTGTCCACGTGGGACAGCTTGGGGGTGGAGGTGGAGGTGGAGGTGGGGGTGCGATAGGGGATGGGGAAGAATAACACAGGGAAGCAGAGGTTTGGGTGCCTTTGAAATGATGAGGCAACTTTTCAGGTTCAAAACTGTGAACTCCAGGCTAGTTCCTCTTCCTGCTCTTAACACCTTAGGCCCGGGGATTGGGTTGGCTGAGAAACTGGTGTTATTACAACACCCACTGTTATGCCCAGATCTCAAGATCCCCAAAGACCACACCAGGTGCCAGCCAGTTCGATGCAATAGCAGAAGGTCCTTTATTGAGCTAGCTAACCCGACTCCCTCCTCCGGCCGATGCAGCGACAGGGAGCAGAGTGAGGTGGCGTGGGAAACTCAGGGTTTTAATAGGGGGGTGGAGTGAGGGGAGTGGACTGACTGTGGGCCCTGCCGATTGGCCAGGCACAAGTCAGGTCTTGTTACACAGGATGTGGTCATCTCTATGGCGCGCACGTCCCTTGATTGTCATTGGTTAGTTTAAAATCCCGGGCGTGGCCAGCAGAGGCCTGGGCTTCCGGGAAGAAGGTGCCTCTCTGAGCACATGGGGACACAGGGTAAGATGGAGGACACAGCCCTCGCTCCTTCACCCACCCCCCTGAAGGCCATATCCTGGAATGGCCACTACCTTTCAATCAGTTAATGAGCCTGCATTGTTCCTGAATGGTTTACATGACCTATGTGCCCCCCAGCTCTAGTGGTGAAAACACCGGCTCTGGAGTCAGACAGGCCTGGACTGAATCCAGGCTCCACCACAAACTGGCAGTGTGCGCAGAGCCCCAGTCTCTCCATCTGTGGAGTGAGGATGATATGAGTACCCTCCTGGAAAGGTTGTTGAGGGGATTAAGTCACCTAATGCTAGTCTTCTTTCAAGGTCCGTCCCTTCATGTCTAGGACCTGACTCTGGCTGGTCCTGATCCTGGGCCCTTCCTGCTCAGAGGCCACTCCCATCTTCAGGGAGCAGGCACAGCATCTGGCCACACAGCTAATGGGCCAGCCACATGGTGTGTCTAATCTGTCCTTAACCTTAAGAAACCTCCACGTTGGGAGGTTGGATGGACAAGGTGTGGATACAGCCAACTCCAATGTAGGGCAGAAGCTAGTGTGTGTCTCCCAGGCACACTAAAACTTTAAAAACAATATTTAAGAAGTTCTGAGCTCTAAAAGAGAATGTGTCCTACAGGGAAGGATGTTTGCAGAGGTGGGGATAGAGGCATATTATGATGATCTGTCATGGCGCTGCAGCAAGCGGAGGCGGAGTGGGTCTCAGAGGCTAAAGCCACTCACCTGTGTCCAGTGTTCTTTTAAACTCCACCTGATGAGACTTCTTTGATCCACAGCTTCTGCAAATGTTTCTTCCCATCCATCAATCTTGCTGTTGCCTCCATTCAGCCACGACCAGAGGAATCTTTTTTAGCATCTGTGGGCTGAAGAGATTTCTCCCCAGATATCTGAGGAGAAGAGATGGGCTGCAGATGCCACCTAAGGAAGCCAGAAGGCTCACACAGCCCTTAGAGCAGTGGTTCTCAACCTTCCTAATGCCGAGACCCTTTAATACAGTTCCTCATGTTGTAGTGACCCCCAATTTCATTGTTACAAGTTGAACATAATTAAAGCATAGTGATTAATCACAAAAACAATGTGTAATTATATATGTGTTTTCCGATGGTCTTAGGCAACCCCTGTGAAAGGGTCGTTCGACCCCCAAAGGGGTTGCAACCCACAGGTTGAGAACCGCTGCCTTAGAGCATGTGTTACTCATTCCTCTATTCCCAGCTTCTAAAAATGTGGGGTGGAAATATCCACCCTTACCCCTCAGAGGTGTCTGGAAATACAAATATGAGTGGGCTTTAGGTAAACATAAAGCTTTATTCAGATGCAAGAGCTGTTGATGTGTTTTATGTCTTGCCCTGTAAGTGCTGTCTTGTGGAATTTAGCCATCCATCCATCCATCCATCCATCCATCCATCCATCATTCATCCATCCTTTAAATACCCATCCATTTAAACATTGATCCATCCATCCATCCATCCATCCATCCATCCACTTGTCCATCCAATCATCCATCCATAATCTATTCATCCATTCATCCTCTGATTCATCCATCCACCTACCCACCCATCCATCTATCCATCTACCCATCCATTCATCCATCCACCCAACTGTCCATCTATTCATAAAATAAAATGTGATGTCCTACTCTGCTGGAGGCCAACCCATAACAGCATTAGGATGAAAGTGCAAAAGAGACACTGGAAGGCCAATGGACCTTGATCTCTGCAGGGCTGAAATCAGCATGAGATGGCTCCTGCTGTGATTGCGATGGCTCCAGGCGATTTCCTGACTGATCATCTTTACATTGTCTATTAAATTTTACCTTTGATTCGATCTGCTCTGCCTGTGTGCATTGCTAAAGGGCAAATGTGTAACCAAACTGAATAAAAAGCAGGCAGGACCCAGACTCATGGTTCCTCTTCTCGAAAGAGGTTCCACCTGGCCCCCCAGGCCTTCAAAATTCATTTTTCTTGTATAGAGTCTTCATTGTGTGTCAGCCCTCCTACATTCCATCGTGAACCCACTGTGCAGGTTGTGGCACTACTCTGTGTCAGCCACTGTTTTAGGCCCAGGAGCTTACCTTCCAGTTGAAAAAACAAAAACAAAAACAGAGCAGGATAAAACATATAAATAAGTGATAAAAGGAAGTGGAAGCAACAAATGTTGTGAAGAAAAATTAAAATAAGGCAAAGGGATAGGGAAGAATAGAGGATGGTGCTATTTTAGGTAGAGGGACAGGGAAGTATCTCTGAGAGTTAGCTGGGTCAGAGAGTGCCAACATTAAACACAGAAAATCCAAAAAAGGCAAGGGGTTCTGTGTGGGTGAGCAGAGTGAGTGAGAGGAGGTATTGGGAGATGAGGAAGGAGGAGGGTCCAGGCGCTCAAACCTCCTGGTGAGTCAGGGCTTTGACTGTTCCGAGTGGGAGGGAAGGCCCTGGAAGGTTTGAGCAGGTGAGTGCAGTGAGAGAATGCAGAGAACTTGAGGGGCTCCTGCCAACTCCTCGCAAATGCTGGGTGGTCACAGTTTGGGTAGCAAGAAGGACCAGCCTCAGAACAGACTGTAAAGATCGAGTAAGGAGAATTTGCTGTTCATGTCTCTCTCCCATGTTCATATCTCTCTCCCATGTTCATATCTCTCTCCCATGTTCATCCCTCTCTCCCATGTTCATATCTCTCTCCCATGTTCATATCTCTCTCCCATGTTCATATCTCTCTCCCATGTTCATATCTGACCACCTGCTCACATCTGACTCCATTTGGCAATTGAATAAGCTTCTCAAATCTGTCTGTCCAAACTGAGCTTTCAATTTGAACCCCCCTAAGCTGCTTCTCCCCTCACCCCAGCATCCCCATTTATGGATTGCTCTGACCAAAAGTCCTTCCTGACTCCACTCTGTCCATACGCCACATCTAACCCCTCAGCAAATTCTCCTTACTCGATCTTTACAGTCTGTTCTGAGGCTGGTCCTTCTTGCTACCCACTCCATAGAAGGCAATTACCTGGGTCACGCAGCCAGTAAGTGGCCGAGCTGGACTTGAATTCAAATGTCAGTTCAGTGTCCTTCCTTCTGGGTAGCAGGGGCATGGGCATGGTGTTGAAGAAAGTCTTGCACTTCAGATGGTGGAAATGAGCGAACTTGGTTGTTGGGACATTACATTTTAGGTGTTTTGTGCTCTAGGTGGCCCAGGCCTTGTCATGATTCAACCATAGTATCCTGCTGCCACCCATTGGTCACTATAAGTGTTGCACCCAAAGAGACCCTGGATTTGCTTAGCTAAGGATCCGTCTGGGGCCAACAATACATTGTTGAAAAGGGCTAGAGAGGAATTCTCATCCCCTTTTGACAAATGAGGAGATGGAAGTCCAGGGAGATGACTTCCAAAAGCCAGCTGCGCTTGCCTACTCTATCCATTCAGTTGTTCACTCATTTAATAACTAGGCACTGGGATTTAGCAGAAAATAAGGCAGAGGAGACCATTGGTCTTCTAGAGCTGCCATTCCTCATGGGGGGGTGGGGGGAGGGACAGATACTAAACAAGTAAATAAACCAGGTAATGATAGATTTGGTGGATTCTGTGGAGAAATTAAGAGAGAGTAAGTAGTCAGGAGATGACATTCGAGCTGAGACCCAATGGCTGGGAGGCTTAGGGAAAGACACTCCAAGACAGCACTGCAAAGGCCCTGAGGCTCTGAAAGGTCTGAGCAGGTTCCAGAACAGGTGGAGCCCACAGATGCCCCGGTTATCCAGGTAGAACATGTAGAGAGGTCCGAGTGGAATGTTCTCCCAGGGGGGTCATGCCATGGACCTTCTCTCAATTAGTCCACAGCATTTCCCACCCCCCACCTTAGTTACTGTACACAGCTGACCACTTCGTCCTTGAAGCTCTCTCCTCTCTTGGCTTGTGTGACACCAACCTCTGGAGGTAGGAAAAAACTATCCTCCTATGAAAATTAAAGCTTCACAATCAACATAGAGATGTTCTTACTTTGAACCCACTGATAGATGGAAAACTAGAGCAGGCAACATGGGTGCGCAGAGTCAAAGGTCAAGGTTGACATTTCTACAACCTGGGACAGGAGCTTGTAGGAGAGAATTGTAATCAGTCTTGCTTGTAGCTGTTGCCATGTGATAAGTGTGTGTCTGTGGCTCTGTCCACTGCTAATGGTGAGCCATTTTAAATATATATATTTTTTTATTGATTTCAGAGAGGAAGGGAGAGGGAGAGAGAGATAGAAACATCAAGGATGAAAGAGAATCATTGATCAGCTGCCTCCTGCACGCCCCACACTGGGGATCGAGCCTGCAACCCAGGCATGTGCCCTGACCGAGAATAGAACTGTGACCTCCTGGTTCATAGGTCGATGCTCAACCGCTGAGCCATGCCGGCAGGGCGGTGAGCCAGTTTTTTAAATGACTATTTATAAGTTTGCATACATAGTATGAGTATGCTCTATTCAAGTCCTAAGAGTGGTGTTCCAAGACATAATACGTTTTGGAAGCAAAATAAGTCCCTAAATTGGCAATTTTGGCATGTTACACCAATACTATCCAATTATGTTAGCTGGCGAGGAATGAGTGAACAACAGAAGATGAAGTCATTACAGCTAAGCAGACTGAAAATGGGGTCTGTATAGTGAAGCCGACGGAACTGGTTCAGATCAAAGGGACTGAAGCCTGAGGAACAGATTTTATTTTACTTTAGCCCGAGGACTTAAGCTGTTGAACTTCTCAGTTGTGCGTCAGTGCCCAGAGATACATAAATTCTTATAGAAGCATCCGGGAAAGAATGAAGGAGTGAGGAAAGAATGCTCACGTGTCCAGACTGCAGGACATCCAGTATCCAGACCGGCGGTCATCGGAGGTGATCATCGCAGACTAACCTGGAGGAGCAGAATGCAAGACGGATTCTTCTCAAGAATGTTTGCTATGAGTACAGAACATTCGGGTGTTACCTGGTAACATTTCTGATTCACAAATCCTAGGACCCTTTAATTAAACTTTGCCATTTTTAATTTTAGCCGCCTCCTGATTCATTTATGTGAAGTCAATACTGGCATTTTCCAGGGTTTGAATATTTGCTGTTGGCTACATACTATTCTTTGTAAGGCAAATGTTTCATCATGAGAAAAAGGAAGCTTATAGCCCTGGCTGGTTTGGCTCAGTGGATAGAGCGTTGGCCTATAGACTGAAGGGTCTGAGGTTCCAGTCAAGGGCACATGCCTGGGTTGCGGGCTGGATACCCAGTAGGGGGCGTGCAGGAGGCAGCCGATCAATGATTCTCTCTCATCACTGATGTTTCTATCTCTCCCTTCCCCTGGGGGGAGGGGGGGAGAAGGGTGGGGGAAATATATATATATTTGGAGATGCATTTGGATACACTCGACCAGCATCAGTGCAAAATGAAGTAATTTTTTCTAAGTCTGAAATATTCATCCTAAAAACAAAAACCAAGGGCAAGTAATACTCTTATGTGCTTTAAATTTTCACTTTTAAGGATAACTTTTCAATAATAAACATTTGTGATATTATCAAGCTATTTTTTAAAAGATTTTTATTTGGCCTTTACTTTGAGTTAATATTTCCTTGTTTTAATCAACCAAAGGACTTGTATGCATGCATGTAAGCATAACCAATGGACACAAGACACTTGGGGGTGAGAGGTCAATGGGGGGAAAAAAGGAGACATATGTACTACTATTTGTAATACTTTAAGCAATAAAATAAAATTTTAAAAAAAGAAGTTAACTAGGAAAAAATAAAAGACAAAATAGTCATGAGGATATAAAGTACAGCATAGGAAATATAGTCATTAATATTGTTATAACTACGTGTGGTACCTGTTGGATATTGAAAATATTTGTAAAGCTAACCATTATGCTGTACAACTGAAACTAATACAAAATAATATTGAATGTAAACTGTAATTTAAACATTTAAAAAATACAGCCCTAACCGGTTTGGCTCAGTGGATAGAGCGTCGACCTGTGGACTAAAAGGTCTCAGGTTCGATTCCGGTCAAG